ATTATCAAAGTAAATTAAAGTAATCAACTGAAATTAATTTAGGATACAAGTTCCTACTCTTCTCTCGTGAACAGTATTGATCTGAAGGCACATATCACATCCGTATGGCTTTTAAGTACCATCTGGTACATTGTTAGCATCTAAAGACATAATACATATACTGTATATACAAGTATGTGTGTAAGTGCTCTAAGTAGTTCGCTATGTCTCAAGACTCGACTAGACTTAACCAGTGACTGTCTACAAGTCCTCACATAAACTAACTTCTTGACCAACCTGGCAATCAGAACAGCTTACTAGAACAATAAAACGACTGATAAGCCGAACAGCAATATAACAAGCAACAGCAGCACAGAATCAGGAACAAGGACATAATATAACGAAACTAAGTAGGAACCATCTGTAGATCCTCCACAAAAGTCACAAAACTCCCCTACTACTGAATCTAAGTTCAGCATTAGAAAATCCCTGACTGTGACAGTACACAGATACCAGTACAAATTAGGTCAGAAGCTACAGCTCAGGACCTGAGTTTCTCAGTGTCTATGAGACACACACCCTCAGTACAACGTCGAAAATCACTAAGTCTAGACCATGTTCTATGAACAGAGTTACACAGAACCAACAAGAAAGCGACAGAGACGATCTTCCAACAAGGGCCTGCAGTGGTGAGCTAGAGAGGGACCTCTTGTTGGAAGGCACATCAAACAGACAATAATCTAGCGCAGGCCAGCTCGACTCTCTCTCCTGGTGAGGTGTGATCACCCCCCCCCCCACGATCATGTGACTCTCCGTGGACTGCTGCTGCCCAGCAACTACAGAGAAGCTGGCAGGGAAACAAGCAGAGCGATAGTTAGACAATGCTGTCAGCTACTTAACACTCAAACTATGAGCACTGAATATATAAATGTTACATCCTACCTAATAATATAACTAAGCCAAATAATATAAAGCAATATATTTACGATTTAGCTAATATCGCAAATATAAGCAATATAAAATTATATGAACAGTTAATATACATTATCTACATTGTGACCCATTCAGTTGTCGCAATACACACACACATGCACACACATGCACATGCACACACATGCACATGCACACACATGCATATGCACACACATGCACATGCACACACATGCCCATGCACACATATGCCCATGCACACATGCACGCATACACCCACTCTCTTCATTCAAAGAGGACCTTGAGGTGAGTATTGTACCAAGCAGGGTACAAACATATGACAAAGTAGAGAAAGTAAGAAAAAAAATCATAACCAAAAATTGATAACACCTCAGTGACGAGGATCAAGCAGACACTGTTTGCAGAGTACATGGCAGATTTAGCAGTCATCTGGAATATTACAAACAAGACTTGGTACCAGGACTATTATTGGCATGATACACTCAACTGCTGTGTAGCAGTTCTGATCAGTGATAAGTTCTTTATATGGCATTTTATAACTATATACCATGAACATCCCAATATAAGAGTAACTTCTCTGGAAGCCTAGTAGGTTTCACTGGGATTCAAAATAAGCTAACTTTTTCCTTAGTACAGTATAGGACAATTTGTTTTACCTGGGAATATTTTGTAGTATTCTAGGTAGTAGGTTGGTAGACAGCAACCGCCCAGGGAGGTACTACCGTCCTGCCAAGTGAGTGTAAAACGAAAGCCTATAATTGTTTTACATGATGGTAGGATTGCTGGTGTCTATTTTTCTGTCTCATAAACGTCTTGCTACTTCTACTTACACTTAGGTCATACTACACATACATGTGCAAGTATATATATACACACCCCTCTGGGTTTTCTTCTAATTTCTTACTAGTTCTTGTTCTTGTTTATTTCCTCTTATCTCAATGGGGAAGTGGAACAGAATTCTTCCTCCGTAAGCCATGCGTGTTGTAAGAGGCGACTAAAATGCCAGGAGCAAGGGGCTAGTAACCCCTTCTCCTGTATAAATTACTAAATTTAAAAAGAGAAACTTTCGTTTTTCTTTTTGGGCCACCCCACCTTGACGGGATATGGCCGGTTTGTTGAAAAAAAAAATTGTAGTATTAGGTGGGCCCACATATATGAATGCACTGTATGACCTTCTTGGGTTTTGTGCATGAACACATTATTATATTCACAAAATGTGCTCAACCTGTTTATAAATAGTTCCAGGAATCAGGCTCTGGTTTATGTATAACACACATCATATGTGCATTTCATATAAATATCTCTGGATTTTTATATCATGAACAGCTTAAGGTTTAAGAACCACTCAATTTTTTGTTCAGAATTTATTGCATACATGTACAGTGGACCCCCGGTATTCGATGGCATCGGTATTCGATAAATCCGGTATTCGATGCATTATATCGCAAAAAATTTTCCTCAGTATTCGATTGAAAACCCAGTATTCGATACGATTCATACGAGACCTGTCCACATACGGCCTGAATTGCCCCTAGTGTGCCAGTGTTTACAAGCCAGCCTGTGTGTGAGCATCTAAGAATACATTCGGTACATTCCATACTATCCATATTATCACTGTGTTTGGTGTTTGTTTCTGCAAAATAAGTCACCATGGGCCCCAAGAAAGCTTCAAGTGCCAACCCTGTGGTAAAAAGAGTGAGAATTAGTATGGAAATTAAGAAAGATTTTGAAGGGTTTGGGGCTAACCCTGAGAAGCCTATACCAGTTGTGGAATACATTGTGCTTACTTCAAAAATTAAGGAAATGTGTGCACAGTGGGTTGAAGTGTAAACCTTTATGGATGAAAATCACCCTAACACAGCTATTACAATGACAATGTTGTGGCCCATTTTAGACAAATCGTAAAGGAACGGGAGGTACAGAGCTCTATGGACAGATTTGTTGTGCAACAGAGGTCCAGTAACTCTCAAGCTGGTCCTAGTGGCATTAAAAGAAGATGGGAAGTAACCCTGGAAAAGGACTTGCTACCTCAAGTCCTAATGGAAGGGGATTCCCCTTCTAAACACTAACACCTCTCCCCTCCTTCCATCCCATCAATCATCATCAGATCTTCATTAAAGGTAAGTGTCAATTATTTTATTGTTATTGTAATTATTCTATTGCATTAAACTTAATATTTCATGTAGTAAATTTTTTTTTTCATACTTTTGGGTGTCTTGCATGGATTAATTTGATTTTCATTATTTCTTGGGAGGAAAATTGATTTGGTTTTCGATATTATCGGTATTCGATGAGCTCTCAGGAACGGATTAATATCGAATACCGGGGGTCCACTGTATATAAAAACTGTTTAAATTATCTCCTATACAGGAACCAATGTACTTTATCTACTAATAATACTTTACTAAATTGATGTTTGTCAGAGTCTTCATTCTGCTCACTAAATCTTGAGAGAGATTTACTGGTAAACTGTAATATCTTCTCCAACAAAGGCTTGAACTCCCAGCGCAACAAGTAGGTGACAGCTACAAGACACACTCCACCAACTCCAGCGTGTAGTATTATATTCCTCGGGTAAACAGAAGCCTGGAACAAAAGCACAGCACAGTCACTTCACTGAGTCCCGGAGGTGGAAGTACAATGCCTGCACTCAAGATATTTGCTCTTTACAGGGACATCTGAACTGTCGTATCTGTGTGCTTCTCACAAGACAGTGGTAAGTGTGAATGATGGTCACCCTACCTTGGTGGGACACAACCAGTGTTAAAAAAAATGAATTTTAATATGCTACATCTGAGCTGTGTGATCCATATAGGTTTAGTGCTTATTATTGCCTCGGTGGGAAACGGCCGACATGTTAAAAAAAAGTGTGTAAATGAAAGTAAGCTTACAGGAACCCATGCAAAGTAACAATGCTGTAAAGATAAGGCATGCAATAAGTCTTGTTAAATTTTGGACTGGAACCATCCAGGCAACTACATTTAGAGAGGGTGTAACAAAATAGAATAACATGGAGTATGTATAAATCTTCTAGGTAGTAGGTTGGTAGACAGCAACCGCCCAGGGAGGTACTACCGTCCTGCCAAGTGATTGTAAAACGAAAGCCTGTAATTGTTTTACATAATGGTAGGATTGCTGGTGTCTTTTTTCTGTCTCATAAACATGCAAGATTTCAGGTACGTCTTGCTACTTCTACTTACACTTAAATCAAACTAAGTGTGGCAAATTTTCAGAAAGTCGGGTGGTTCACAAAGAGAAGGAAATGGCCTCTCAAAGTAATTTTCAAGGCTAAGGGTGGCAAATTTTTGGAGAGTTGGGTGGTTCACAAAGAGAACGAAACGGCCTCTCAAAGTAATTTTCAAGGCAGAATCAACTCGAACCATGATCCTGCAGGAGAAAGCACGGCTGAGAGGCAAACAGGAGTTCAAGAGTGTGTACCTCGATCGAGACAGAACACAGGAGGAAAGGATGACACTGAAAGAGAGAGTGCAAAAACGAAAGGAGGAATGGGAGGAAATGACAAAGAAGAGCAGAATAACCCAGGCACAGGTGGAAGGGCAAGCACACCCCCCAGAAACACCTGCAGAAGGACTCCAACCACGACACCCCCAAGGCAACTGAACAATCTAAACCAACAATCACACACTGATCCCTCTGTTCCCACCCCCCGCACCAAGAACCCTACCCCTACAGCAACCTCCTATGGGAGCTCTTCCTCCACCTCCACTGCAACCCCCCACAGGCTCCCACCAGGGCTCCTGCTCTCCCAACCCCAGTGTTCCCCCAGGACCACAGTTACAGTATTAGAACAGAAGTTGAAGGTTTGGTACACAAATGCGGATGGATTAACGAATAAAATGAGGAGTGGCAAGAAAAGAATCAATGAGAAGTCCCCAGACATCATAGCAGTTACAGAAACAAAACTCACTGAGACAATATCAGATGCAATCTTCCCACCAGGATATCAGATCATGAGGAAAGATAGAAGGGGCAGAGGGGGAGGAGGAGTTGCTCTGCTCATAAAAAACCGATGGAAATTCGAGAAAATGGGAGGCATAGACGAGACAGGAGAAAGGGACTACATAGTAGGTACACTTCAGTCTGGGGAGCACAAGGTGCTCATTGCAGTGATTATAATCCACCACAGAACTGCAGGAGGCCAAGAGTGGAATATGAAGAGAGCAACAGAGCAATGGTGGACACATTTGCTGAGGTGGCAAGAGGAGCTCACTCGAGCAGAGCAAAGTTGCTAGTAATGGGCGATTTCAATCACAGGGAGATTGACTGGGAAAACCTGGAGCCACATGGGGGTCCCAAAACATGGAGAGCCAAGATGTTGGATGTGGTGCTGGAAAACCTCATGCACCAACATGTTAAGGACACTACCAGAGTGAGAGGGGAGGATGAACCAGCAAGATTGGACCTTGTGTTCACCCTGGGCAGTTCAGACATTGTGGACATCACATATGAGAGTCCCCTAGGAGCTAGTGACCATGTGGTTCTGTGCTTTGAATACACAGTAGAGTTGCAAGTGGAGAGGTTTGAGGAACTTCCTGCAGGAGGTTCAGTGGGACAGAGAACTGGTAGGAAAGACAGTAAATGAAATGATGGAATTTGTAACAACAAAATGCAAGGAGGCAGTGGAACGGTTTATTCCCAAGGGCAACAGAAACAATGGAAGACCAGAACGAGCCCCTGGTTTACCCAACAGTGTAAGGAGGCAAAAACTAAGTGCAATAGAGAATGGAAAAAGTACAGAAGGCAGAGAACACACGAAAATAGGGAGATTAGTCGCAGAGCCAGGAACGAGTATGCACAGGTAAGGAGGGAGGCCCAGTGACAGTATGAAAATAACATAGCATCGAAAGTCAAGACTGATCCGAAACTGTTGTATAGCCACATCAGGAGGAAGACAACAGTCAAAGACCAAGTGATCAGACTGGCAACAGAAGGTGGAGTACTCACAAGAAATGATCAGGAGGTATGTGAGGAGCTAAACAGGAGATTTAAGGAAGTTTTTACAGTAGAGACAGGAAGGGCTCTGTGAAGACAGCACAGAAGGGAACATCAAGAGGGAATATACCAACAAGTGTTAGATAACATACAAACAACCGAGGAGGAGGTGCAGAAGCTGCTAAGTGACCTTGATACCTCAAAGGCGATGGGACCAGACAACATCTCCCCATGGGTCCTTAGAGAAGGAGCAGAGATGCTGTGCGTGCCCCTAACTACAGTCCTCAACGCATCCCTTGAAACTGGGCAACTACCTGAGATATGGAAGACGGCAAATGTAGTCCCCATATTTAAGAAAGGAGACAGAAACGAGGCACTAAACTACAGACCTGTGTCTCTGACATGTATAGTATGCAAAGTCATGGAGAAGATTATCAGGAGGAGAATGGTGGAACACCTGGAACGGAACAAGATTATAAATGAAAACCAGCATGAATTCATGGAAGGCAAATCCTGTGTCACAAACCTTCTGGAGTTTTATGACAAGGTAACAGAAGTAAGACACGAGAGAGAGGGGTGGGTTGATTGCATTTTCCTGGACTGCAGGAAGGCCTTTGACACAGTTCCTCACAAGAGATTAGTGCAGAAGCTGGAGGATCAGGCACATATAACAGGAGGGCACTGCAATGGATCAGGAATACCTGACAGGGAGGCAACAACGAGTCATGGTACGTGAAGAGGTATCACAGTGGGTGCCTGTGACGAGCGGGGTCCCACAGGGGTCAGTTCTAGGACCAGCGCTATTTTTGATATATGCGAACGACATGATGGAAGGAATAGACTCTGAAGTGTCCCTATTCGCAGATGATGTGAAGCTGATGAGAAAAATTAAATTGGATGAGGATGAGGCAGGACTGCAAAGAGACCTGGACAGGCTGGACACGTGGTCCAGAAACTGGCTTCTCGAATTCAACCCTGCCAAATGCAAAGTCATGAAGATTGGGGAGGGGCAAAGAAGACCGCAGACAGAGTATAGGCTAGGTGGACAAAGACTACAGACCTCACTCAGGGAGAAAGATCTTGGGGTGACCATAACACCGAGCATGTCACCGGAGGCACACATCAACCAGCATATGGGCGCCTGGCAAACCTGAGAATAGCATTTCGATACATTAATAAGGAATCATTCAAGACACTGTACACTGTGTATGTTAGGCCCATACTGGAGTATGCAGCGCCAGTCTGGAACCCACACCTGGTCAAGCACGTCATGAAGTTAGAGAAAGTACAAAGGTTTGCAACAAGGCTAGGTCCAGAGCTCAGGGGAATGTCGTACGAGGAAAGGTTGAGGGAAATCGGACTGACAACACTGGAGGACAGAAGGGTCAGGGGGGACATGATAACGACATACAAGATACTGCGGGGAATAGACAAGGTGGACAGAGACAGGATGTTCCAGAGAGGGGACACAGAAACAAGGGGTCACAATTGGAAGCTGAAGACTCAGATGAGTCACAGGGATGTTAGGAAGTATTTCTTCAGTCATAGAGTCGTCAGGAAGTGGAATAGCCTAGCAAGTGAAGTAGTGGAGGCAGGAACCATGCACAGTTTTAAGAAGAGGTATGACAAAGCTCAGGAAGCAGAGAGGGAGAGGACCTAGTAGCGATCAGTGAAGAGGCAGGGCCAGGAGCTGAGTCTCGACCCCTGCAACTACAATTAGGTGAGTACATACATGTACAAGCATATATATACACACCCCTCTGGGTTTTCTGCTATTTTCTTTCTAGTTCTTGTTCTTGTTTATTTCCTCTTATCTCCATGGGGAAGTGGAACAGAATTCTTCCTTTGTAAGCCATGCGTGTTGTAAGAAGCGACTAAAATGCTGGGAGCAAGGGTTAGTAACCCCTTCTCCAGTATAAATTACTGAATTTGAAAAGAGAAACTTTTGTTTTTCTTTTTGGGCCACCCTGCCTTGGTGGGATACAGCCGTTTGTTGAAAGAAGAAGATGTATAAATCTGTAGTGGAAGGAAGGTGGGGTAGGGGTTGTCCTAGGAAAGGTTGGAGAGAGGGGGTAAAGGTGGTTTTCTGTGTGAGGGGCTTGGACTTCCAGCATGTGTGAGCATGTGAGACAGGAGTTGAGGCAAGTGGTTTTTATGACAATGTGCTGTTGGAGTGTGAGCAAGTTAATATTTATGAAGGGATTCAGGGAAACTGGTTAGTTGAATTTGAGACTTGGAGGTGGGAAATACAGTGACTGCACTCTGAAGGAGGGGTTGAGATATGCTGCAGTTTTTGAAATGTAGTATCGGCACTCCTCTGGGAAAACAGTGATGGAGTGAGTGATGGTGAAAGTGTTTCTTCCTTTTTGGATCACCTTGCCTCAGTGGGAAATGGCTGGTGTGTTAAAAAAAAATTGTTCCTTATCATTATTATAAATGAGATAACTGTACAGTGAATTTTGTGATAGCATCATGATATATAATGTACAAGTAGGGTCACATTGACATAACATACAACCCACAGTCATCTACTGAACAGTGAGCTACATAACCATCTCCAAACGCTTCAGAGAAAGAAACAAAGAATTTGGGGTAGGATAAAACACTTTCTTTTTGTAACAGCTTGACAAAGCTTCTGGAGAGTGAAACACTGCCACAATAAAATGTCACATTAGTTGCATCTCTGTCCATTTACCTAATACTCTTTCTTGTTTTTAAGCATATTTTATACTGATAAGATTGTGTATTAAATTTGTTACAGTTACCGGCAGTGTACTACAAACTTGATTTATATAAAGTGGAGTACAGTATAAGGTAGTAGGTTGGTAGACAGCAACCACCCAGGGAGTTACTACCGTCCTGCCAAGTGAGTGCAAAATGGAAACCTGTAATTGTTTTATATGGCAGGATTGCTGGTGTCTTTTTTTCTGTCTCATAAACATGCAAGATTTCAGGTATGTCTTCCTACACTTAGGTCACACTACACATACATGTACAAGCATATAAATACACACCCCATTGGGTTTCCTTCTATTTTCTAAGAAAATTGAAGAAAATAGGCCGATTCCCACCAAGGCAGGGTGGCCCGAAAAAGAAAAACTTTCACCAACATTCACTCCATCACTGTCTTGCCAGAAGGGTGCAAAACTGCAGTGTAAAGAACCCTTCTGGCAAGACAGTGATGGAGTGAATGTTGGTGAAAGTTTTTCTTTTTCGGGCCACCCTGCCTTGGTGGGAATTGGCCAGTGTGTTAATAAAAAATAATAATAATAAAAAATATTCTTGTTCTTCTTTATTTCTGCTTATCTCCATGGGGAAGTGGAACAAAATTCTTCCTCTGTAAGCCATGTGTGTTATAAGAGGTGACTAGTGACCATTTCTCCTGTATAATATATTACTAAATTTAAAAAGAGAAACTTTTGTTCTTCTTTTTGGGTTACCCTGCCTCAGTGGGAGATGGCTGACATGTTAAAAAAAAAAAATGCTGGGAGCAAGGGGCTAGTAGCCCCTTCTCCTGAATAAATTACTAAATTTAGAGAAAAACTTTCATTTTTCTTTTTAAGTCACCTGCCTCGGTGGGATACGACTGGTTTGTCAAAAAAAATTGTGTACAAAACTCACCTCTGAAATTGCTGTGAGGATAAGAGTAAAGACAAAGATGGCAACAACTCTGAGTGGGATCTGTAAAGACTTCAGGGGATGGTATTCACTTCCTTGGTATTGCTTATGAATGAACCAATAACTGTGAAGAGAAAAAACAATAATCATGTACATGAGGTAGTGAAAATTATACAAAATACACACAATAAATGGTAGCAAATACTGTGAAAGAATAAAAAAAGTTTTATATAAATAAAAACCTGTCAAACTTATTGAAAATAATTCCAACTTTCTGTAAGTTAATTCCTTGTTCATGTTCCATGAATCACTAATAGGAATAGCAACTTGTCAACACAACACCTATAACACCAGTATTAATGTAAACTGTTAGATCTCTTATTGTCAAGTCATCTGTTTACATTCACCCAAACACCACTGCTTTCTTTACTGAATCATAGAACAGACATCTTGCTCCAATATATTACCTGTCTCAGTTTGATAAAAACTTTTCAAAATCAAGGAGAATACTAACTGTATTTGAGTTTATGCATCTGAGGAGAAGAGAGGAGTGGAGAGGAGTGAGAGAGAAAAATTTGGGGAGGTGTTAAGTAAACATTTAGAGTTCTGAATTGAGAGAATAATTGAGAGCATAATTATTGTAGGGACCTGAATGTTGAAGTGGGAGACTTTGTAGGTGGTCTAGTAGGCAAGTTTGGAGTGTCAGGGATAATTTTTGATAATGAGAAGCCTCTAAATGAATTGTGTACAGAAAGAGGTTTGGTAACAGGCAACAGCTATTTTAAGAAGAAGAGGTTAAATAAGTAAATATAATATAATAAAGAATGCAATGATAGTGATTTGTTAAAATATGAATTAGTAGATAAAAGGTTGATGGGTAGACCCTTAGATGTGCATATTTTTAAGGGGGTGACAAATGACAGATCATTATTTAGTGGTAGCTACAGTAAGAAAACTTTCGTTTTTCCTTTTGGGCCAACCTGCCTCGGTGGGATATGGCCGGTTTGTTGAAAGCAGAAGCTACAGTAAGATTAAGAGGGTAGATGGAGAACAAGAAGAATGGCTTGAATTCCCAGTGCAACAAGTAGGTGACAGCTGCAAGACACACTTCACCAACTCCAGCGTGTAGTATTATATTCCTCGGGTAAACAGAAGCCTGGAACAAAAACACAGCACAATCACTTCATTGAGTCCTGGAGTTGGCAAGTACAATGCCTGCCCTCTAAAGGAGGTGTTAGAGATATTTGCTCTTTAGAGGGACATCTAAACTGTTGTATCTGTGCACCTCTGACAAGACAGTGATAGTGTGAATGATGGTGAAAGTGTTTCTTTTTTGGATCACCCTGCCTTGGTAGGAGACAGCCAGTGTATTTTAAAAAAGAAAAACTCTGTAGAGCACATCAGTTAATGTGTAAAGTAGATCTATTATCAAAAGATACTAGGATAAAACAAAAAGTATGACTGCAGAGAAGGAAGGAGGATTTAGGAAGGGTAGGGGATATGTAGATCAAGTGTTTACATTGAAGTATATAAGTAAAATAACACTTAAAGGTAAGGAACTGCGATTAAGACAAAACTGTTAAAAGTAGATGGAAATATAATTTTGGAGTGGTTGGTGTATTTGTGTAATATATGCATGTAAGAAGGAAAGGTACCTACGGATTGGCAGTAAGCATGCATAGTGCCTTTGTATAAGGAAAAAGGGGGGCAAGGTTAAGTGTAAGAATTATAGGGGAATAAGCCTGTTAAGTCCTAGGTAGTAGGTTGATAGACAGCAACCACACTAGGGAGGTACTACTGTTCTGCCAAGTGAGTGTTAAACAGAAACCTGTAATTGTTTTATATGACGGTAAGATTGCTGGTGTCTTTTCTGTCTCATAAGCACACAAGATTTCAGATATGCCTTGCATATATATATATACACACCCCTCTGGGTTTTCTTTTATTTTCTTACTAGTTATTGTTCTTGTTTATTTCCTCTTATCTCTATGGGTAAGTGGAACAGAATTCTTCCTCCGTAAGCCATGTGTGTCATAGGAGGTGACTAAAATGTTGGGAACAAGGGCTAGTAACCCCTTCTCCTGTATACATTACTAAATTTAAAAAGAAACTTTCATTTTTCTTTTTAGATCACCCTGCCTCGATGGGATATGGCCGGTTTATTAAAAAAAAAAAAAAACACGCAGGATACCAGGTATATCTTGCTACTTCTTACATTTAGGTCACACTACACATCCATAAATATTTACACACCCATCTGAATTTTCTTTTTAATAGCTCTTTATTTCCTCTTATCTCCGTGGGGAAGTGGAAAAGAATTCTTCCTCCGTAAGTCATGCATGTCATAAAAGGCAACTAAAATGGTGGGAGCAAGGGGATAGCAACCCCTTCACCCTGCTTCAGTGGGATATGGCCAGTTCGTTGTAAAGAAAACAGAAGCCTGTTAAATATGCTAGTTAGTGTATGGTAAATAAGACAGAAAGTAGAACTGCAAAGGAAAAAAATGGAGGATTTAGAAAGAGTAGGTGATGTCTTGACAAAATTTTCACACTAAAGCATATACATGAACAGTATTTACATAAACATGTGGAAATGTTTGTTGCATTTATACATTTAGAAAAGGCATATGAAAGAGTGGATAAGAGAGCAATGTGGCAGATATAAATATAATCCATTCATAGTAGTTTACTAAAAGCAGTAAAGTTTTTATGTAGACAGTAAGGCTCAGGGTTGGGTATGTAATAATAATAATAATAATAATGTCACCATGGCTGTTTAATATATTTATAGATGGGGTTGTAAAAGAAGTAAATGCTAGGGTGTTCAGGAGAGGGGTGGGATTAAATAATGGAGAATTAAATACAAAATGGGAAGTGACACAGTTACTTTTTGCTGATGATACTGTATTTATAAGAGATTCTAAAGAAAAATTGCAAAGGTTAGTGGACGAATTTGGGAGTGTGTGTAAAGGTAGAAAGTTGAAAGTGAACTTTGAAAAGAATAAGGTGATGAGAGTATCAAATGATTTAGATAAAGAAAATTGGATATCAAATTGGGGAGGAGAAATATGGAAGAAGTGAATGTTTTCAGATATTTGGGAGTTGACGTGTCAGCAGATGGATTTATGAAGGATGAGGTTAATCATAGAATTGATGAAGAAAAAAGGTGAGTAGTGCATTGAGGTATATGTGGAGGCAAAAAATGTTATCTATGGAGGCAAAGAAGGGAATGTATGAAAGTATAGTAGTACCAACACTCTTATGTGGGTGTGAAGCTTGGGTTGTAAATGCTGCGGCAAGGAGGCGGCTGGAAGCAGTGGAGATGTCCTGTCTAAGGGCAATGTGTGGTGTAAATATTATGCAGAAAATTCGGAGTGTGGAAATTAGGAGAAGGTGTGGAGTTAATAAAAGTATTAGTCAGAGGGCTGAAGAGGGTTTGTTGAGGTGGTTTGGTCATTTAGAGAGAATGAATCAAAGTAGAATGACATGGAGAGCGTATAAATCTGTAGGGGAAGGAAGGCGGGGTAGGGATCATCCTTGAAAAGGTTGGAGGGAGGGGGTAAAGGAGGTGTTGTGGGCGAGGGGTTCGGACTTCCAGCAAGCATGCGTGAGCGTGTTAGATAGGAGTGAATGGAGACAAATGGTATTGGGACCTGACGATCTGTTGGAGTGTGAGCAGGGTAATATTTAGTGAAGGGATTCAGGGAAACCGGTTATTTTATATAACCAGACTTGAGTCTTGGAAATGGGAAGTACAATGCCTGCACTTTAAAGGAGGAGTTTGGGATATTGGCAGTTTGGGGAGATATATTGTGTATTTTTATACGTATATACTTCTAAACTGTTGTATTCTGGGCACCTCTACAAAAACAGTGATTATATGTGAGTGAGGTGAAAGTGTTGAATGATGATGAAAGTATTTTCTTTTTGGGGATTTTCTTTCTCTTTGGGTCACCCTGCCTGGGTGGGAGACGACCGACTTGTTGAAAAAAAAAAAGTAATAATGATAATAATCATATTTTATTTCAACATGATACATGTTTGTACAAAGGAATATAATAGATGGCTGTACATGCCAAAAGCCCCATTATATAAAGAGCATTTCAGGCAAACTTAAAATTAACTTAATATTAATAGGGCAATAATAGTATACATATGGCCAGTAGATGAGTTACAATGAATACAAGAGGCTTGAGTATTCTATTAGGTCATACCATATGGCTTTAATAAGTCTTGTAGAGAAGACGTACAATTTTGATTATTAATCTTAGGTGGACACAATGGAGTGATTAACATTTGAGATGAATACAGATACTGAGAGCAAGTATACAGTGGAACCTTGGGTTACGAAATTAATCTGTTCCATGGACTTGTTCGTATCCTGATTTGTTTGCATGCTAGGTCAATTTTCCCCATTTAAATTAACAGAAATGCAATTAATTCGTTCCAGCTGAATTCCTGCTCTCAGGAGGCATGACAAAATAACCCTAATATCAACTCTATGGCTTATTTATTTGTCACAATTCATCTAATATGACATAAACAATATAAATAACATAGAAACCTGATATATACTCTAGAATAAATAAAATGTCATTACATGGACGGCAGAGGGAGGAGGATTGTGGTCAGGAGTGGTCACGCATTCTCACTATGAAAACATCAGAGGCGTTATTATAAGAGAAAATGGAGTCTGTGAGGCTACTGAATTAGATCTGGTGTACATACGACATTTACATACCTTGGAGGAGAAATGCAGAGCGGCATATCCTGTCAGGAGTTCACACTTTTCTTAAGAACTGCTATGTATAATTTTTATGTTTCTCACTACACTATGTATCTCCTGTGAGCTGCTTCTCCATCAACCATGTCAACAGCAGCTTTTCCATCTTTTCATTGACAGAGGTCCACTGCTTAGAAATTACTATAACGCCCTTTGCTGGCGCTATAGCCTTTATAGACTCCTCCTGCTTTAGTTTTGTACATATAGTAGAGGGGCTACGCTTGTACTCACTCGCCAAGTCCTCAACCCTTGTACCTAGTCTGTTCTTATCAATGGTTTCTTGCTTTAATTCCGTGCAAATAATCCTCTTTTACTTCTCGGCACTGTCCATTGCACTTGCTTTTTTAGGACCCATGGTTAGAAGAAAGAAATCTGGCTAATTAACTGCACGAAATGTAAGGAAATCACGAGAATTCCTCACACCGCGAGGGTAGCTCCATAAGCACATGTGCACTGGTGAACATTGTTTTGATTGACACTGCTGTCTGGTGGTAGTGTTGCCAAACTAAATTATATGCAGTACGTACATACATGTACTATTATTAGTATAATTATTATTGTACTATTACGTATTATTACATTATATATTATTATATTATTTTATTATTATTATATAGTATCATATTATTATTATATTATACATAATTATTATTATGTATTATCATTATTGTAAGTACGTATAATAATAATAATAATAATAATAATAATAATAATAATAATAATAATAATAATAATAATAATAAAATAATAATAATAATAATAATAATAATAATAATAATAATAATAATAATAATAATAATAATAATATTATTCTTTCTTCTTCTTTCAACACACCGGCCATATCCCACCAAGGTGGGGTGGCCCAAAAGGAAAAACGAAAGTTTCTCCTTTTACATTTAGTAATATATACAGGAGAAGGGGTTACTAGCCCCTTGCTCCCGGCATTTTAGTCGCCTCTTACAACACGCATGGTTTACAGAAGAAGAATTCTGTTCCGCTTCCCCATGGAGGTAAGAGGAAATAAACAAGAACAAGAACTAGTAAGAAAATAGAAGAAAACCCAGAAGGGTGTGTATATATATAACTTGTACATGTATGTGTAGTGTGACCTAAGTGTAAGTAGAAGTAGCAAGACGTACCTGAAACCTTGCATGTTTATGAGACAGAAAAATGGACACCAGCAATCCTACCATCATGTAAAACAATTACAGGCTTTCGCTTTACACTCACTTGGCAGGACGGTAGTACCTCCCTGGGCGGTTGCTGTCTACCAACCTACTACCTAGAATAACTATTATTATTATTATTATTAATTTAGGGGCCTGGAGCAGAGATCCAATTCTCTAGATCAAGAGCCCCTCATCACATACATATGTACTACTACTACTACTACTACTACTAATAATAATAATAATAATAATAATAATAATAATAATAATAATAATTATAATAATAATACAATATAATAGTAATAATAATAATAACAGTAAGGAGAAACTTCAAAAGGCTGCCAGTAGTTGGCACCACCATCAGCAAAACATTGGTAACCACTACTAGTACACTTCACCTATCTAGACTAAAATTGTCTTAAGTAGGCATTTCTGCCCAAAAGGCCTCGGCATGATAGTGGCTTTCTTTGCTCCAATCATATTATATGCAAACACATATTGTAACCTTTGCAAAGAAACATATATTTTATTTATTTATTTAATTAAGGAACCTCCCTTGAGGGGGAAGTTCGCATCCTGAAATTTCTTTCATATCCTGAAGCAAATAATCAAACGAACAACGGTTCATATCCTGAAAAATTCGCATGGTGGGGCGTTTCTAACCTGAGGTTCTACTGTATATTGATTTAAAGTTTTACCCATGTTCATGATATTCAGCAAATGCATATAAAGTGTAGCTTTTACGTATGTTCTTATGATGGGCTGGGATAAGTTAAGGAGAAAAGGCATTTTTTAACTATAGTTTTAAAAATGCTAGCTGAGCTGGTGGTTCTGGAGATTTCTAGCAGAGAGTTCCATATTTAGAGCCCTTTTATGTGCAATGAGTTTTTGAAAAGATTTAGCCTGACACGGGGAGTGTTATATAGGTTTTTGTGCCTAGTGCTGTGTCTATGAGTCCTATTGAAACTGTCAAGTAAGCATTTCAGGTTGGGATTTATATTAGAATTGACTGTTCTGTAAATATAGGTTGCACAATAATATGAGTAAATGTTCTGTATAGTGAGTAGGTTTAGGTCTTTGAAAAGTGTATGGGGGGGGGGTGTCTAGCAGTGGATTGTGTGATCATTCGCACTGCTGCTTTTTGTTGGGTTAAAATTGGTTTTAGGTGATTTGTCGTTGTGGAACTCCAGGCACAAATAGCATAGGTGAGGTAGGGGTAGATCAGTGAATAGTATAGTGTAAGTAGAGCTGTTTGTGGTACATAGTAACATATCTTTGAGAGGATGCCAACTGTTTTAGAAACTTTTTTTGTTATGTGTGGAATATGGGTGTTGAATTTCAGGTTGCTATCAAGGTGCAGACCCAGGAATTTTTCCTCATTATGTCTAGCAATAAGGGTGTTGTTAAGCATAATGTTTAGTTGGGCCTCACTTTCTCTACTCCCAAACATAATGTAAAAGGTTTTGTCTATATTAAGTGTAAGTTTACTGACAGTCAACCAGGTTGTAGTTTTTGCAAGTTCTTCGTTAACAATAGTGTTGAGTGAGGCTAGATTTGGGTGGGAGATGACAAAAGTCATGTCAGCAAGGAGAATAGGCATAAGTTGTTGTGATATGCTTGGAAGATCGTTGATGAATAAAAGGAAAAGGAGGGGTCAAGAACGCTACCCCTGTGGTACACCAGTGTCCAGGGGTCTTGTTGAGGAGTCTGCATCCTTGACAGAGATGTATTGCTCTCTATTAGTAAGGTAGGACTTGATATATGCAAGTGCATGGCCTCTTATACCTTAATGATCAAGCTTGAGGAGTAGAATGCTGTGATCTACTGTATCAAAAGCTTTCTTAAGGTCAATAAAGAGTCCAAGCGGGTATTCAGTTTTTTCCAGGGCTGTGTAAAGTTGGTCTAGCATTTTTATTATTGCGTCATTTGTGGTTTTGTTTCTCCTGAAGCCAAATTGAAAGTGGTTAAGGGTGTTTTGTGATGTTGTGAAGGAGTATAACCTTTAGTGTATGAGTTTCTCAAAGATTTTGGAAAGTAAAGGCAAGTTTGATATTGGCCTATAATTGTTTACATCTGTTGGGTCACCACCTTTGTGTATTGGTGTAATCCTTGCTATTTTGAGTAAGAGAAGGAGAGAAGGGGGTTACTTTACAGTAAAAGTAAGCCTTAGCTAAGGATAAATTATGTCAGCATGGTTGTATAACATATTTATAAATGGTATTGTGAAAGAAGTGAATGCTAGGGTGTTGGGGAGAGGTGTGGGATTATTCCTATTATTGCTTCATGGAACTTGACACACACCCAAATTATCGCTGGATCTTTAATTTTAGTAAATACAGTCCTGTATATTAATCTTGAAATGGGTCTAACAAAAAAAAGAGCAGTTATATTACCTGTGTATAATACGGAAGCCCATATTAAGGCAGTTTGCCATGATAAAACCAAGGGCCCCAAATATCTGTGTGAAGACAACTGCTGTTCCAATATATGCAACAGAGAACAGTATCAACAAATGGTTGTACCTGAAAAAACATTGGCATATATATAAATATTGGCATATAAAAATTAATTCCCTACCATTTAGTTAGTTTTGTCAGTCACTATCTGACACAGTTTTCCACTACAGCACAACTCTCTTATAACTAAAATGATCAACAAAGAGAAAAAGATGATAAACTTGGAAAAAAAAAAACATCAAATAAAACCAGGGAAGTCAGGTGATGGCAGCCAAATAAAGGATGTATCAAGAGATCCATGAACAAAGAGAGATGAAATGACAGGAGATATGAATATTAAGTAACCAAGTGAAGGGAAGGAGACTTATGGGGGTGAGTGGACAGAAATGACAGATGCTACAATGTGAGTGGACAAAAGTTACAGAAGCTACAATGTGAGTGGACAGAAGTGTAAACAGATGGACAGAAGTGGCAGAAGCTACACTGTTGCCTAGTCTTTCCGGCAAGTAAAAAATATAACCGACCATAACACACAATAATCCATTAGGAAAAATTTGCTCTTATCTTTAAACCGCATCTTTAAAATTTAACAAAAACTCCCAGAAGCATTAAATGCTACAACAACCTTATTCAAAAGTCTAAATCCACCAATATAATGTGATATAAACATTGCAATGGAAAATCAAAATCCTCAGAAGAGTGAGGTGTCAGGTTGACCCTGACTTAAGACACTTGCAACACAATAACTGAAACACTTGCAACACAGTAATTAAGACACTTGCAACACAATAATGATTGAATGTCTTTGGAAACCCTTTTTTTTTCCCCTGATGGTGACCCAAAAAGAAAGAAATAACTTTCATCATTATTCAACAATTTCACGATAATGCCGACTGCCCTCCACTCACAAATTATGAAATATTCTGAAATCATCTGGGTCTCTTCTGAAGTCGTGGACTTGGTCCACTGACGCAGAAGACAACTGAAATCTCACTACTGTTGAAGTACTCTTCTGAAACAGCACTACTACTGAAGTACTATTCTGAAATAGCACTACTATTGAAGTACTCTTCTGAAACAGCACTACTACTGAAGTACTCTTCTGAAACAGCACTACTATTGAAGTACTCTTCTGAAACAGCACTACTACTGAAGTACTCTTCTGAAACAGCAGTACTACTGCACTTTCAGTAGGAACACCACTGCTGCACTCTCAGCAGGAACACTACTGCTGCACTTTCAGCAGGAACACTGCTGCTGCACTCTCAGCAAGAACACTACTGCTGCACTCTCAGCAAGAACACTACTGCTGCACTCTCAGCAGGAACACTACTGCTGCACTCTCAGCAGGAACACTACTGCTGCACTTTCAGCAGGAACACTGCTGCTGCACTCTCAGCAAGAACACTACTGCTGCACTCTCAGCAGGAACACTACTGCTGCACTCTCAGCAGGAACACTACTGCTGCACTTTCAGCAGGAACACTGCTGCTGCACTCTCAGCAAGAACACTAATGCTGCACTCTCAGCAGGAGCACTACTGCTGCACTCTCAGCAAGAACACTAATGCTGCACTCTCAGCAGGAGCACTACTGCTGCACTCTCAGCAGGAACACTGCTGCTGCACTCTCAGCAAGAACACTAATGCTGCACTCTCAGCAGGAGCACTACTGCTGCACTCTCAGCAGGAACACTGCTGCTGCACTCTCAGCAAGAACACTACTGCTGCACTCTCAGCAGGAACACTGCTGCTGCACTCTCAGCAGGAACACTACTGCTGCACTCTCAGCAGGAACACTACTGCTGCACTCTCAGCAGGAACACTGCTGCTGCACTCTCAGCAGGAACACTACTGCTGCACTCTCAGCAGGAACACTGCTGCTGCACTCTCAGCAGGAACACTACTGCTGCACTCTCAGCAGGAACACTGCTGCTGCACTCTCAGCAGGAACACTGCTGCTGCACTCTCAGCAGGAGCAATACTGCTGCACTATCAGCAGGAACACTGCTGCTGCACTCTCAGCAGGAGCACTACTGCTGCACTCTCAGCAGGAACACTGCTGCTGCACTCTCAGCAGGAACACTGCTGCTGCACTCTCAGCAGGAGCACTACTGCTGCACTTTCAGCAGGAACACTGCTGCTGCACTCTCAGCAAGAACACTACTGCTGCACTCTCAGCAAGAACACTACTGCTGCACTCTCAGCAAGAACACTAATGCTGCACTCTCAGCAAGAACACTAATGCTGCACTCTCAGCAAGAACACTGCTGCTGCACTCTCAGCAAGAACACTAATGCTGCACTCTCAGCAGGAGCACTACTGCTGCACTCTCAGCAAGAACACTAATGCTGCACTCTCAGCAGGAGCACTACTGCTGCACTCTCAGCAAGAACACTAATATTGCACTCTCAGCAAGAACACTAATGCTGCACTCTCAGCAGGAACACTACTGCTGCACTCTCAGCAAGAACACTAATGCTGCACTCTCAGCAAGAACACTAATGCTGCACTCTCAGCAGGAACACTACTGCTGCACTCTCAGCAGGAACACTACTGCTGCACTCTCAGCAGGAACACTACTGCTGCACTCTCAGCAGGAACACTACTGCTGCACTCTCAGCAGGAGCACTGCTGCTGCACTCTCAGCAAGAACACTAATGCTGCACTCTCAGCAAGAACACTACTGCTGCACTCTCAGCAGGAGCACTACTGCTGCACTCTCAGCAAGAACACTACTGCTGCACTCTCAGCAGGAGCACTACTGCTGCACTCTCAGCAGGAGCACTACTGCTGCAGTCAGCTTAAGAGTAATGGACGTTCCACAAGTTGAAGACCACCTTGATAGATCACTCAGCATTCTTGGTAATAGAATAAGTCAATATTGCACTCTCAGCAAGAACACTGCTGCTGCACTCTCAGCAGGAACACTACTGCTGCAGTCAGCTTAAGAGTAATGGAAGTTTCACAAGTTGAAGATCACCTTGATAGATCACTCAGCATTCTTGGTAATAGAATAAGTCAATACAAGATATGAGAACACCCAGGATAATAATAATGAACAAAATAAAGAACTAGCAGCAACATGAACAAGATACAACACTAATACTCTCACACTTAAGTTAAAATTTAGTAAGTTTATTCAGGTATACACAAATACAGTTACACAGATTATCATACATAGCAGCAAATATGTAGAGAAGCTAGGATAACCCAAAAAAAGTCAAAGTGACATATTTCCATTGGGGTCCTTTAAATAACCAATATTAGTTAAAAATACCATTAAATTACTTATGGCAAAAGGCTCTCATGATTAAAGTGAAAAACCTGAAGGTGTGGAGTAAAAACAAAAAGTTAAAATATGGAGAACATTCAGGTGATAAATGTCATTCGTAGAAAAGGTATTATAACCTTTAAACAAGCAGTCATGGGTGAGGTGTGTGCCTCAATCAACAGATAATAATCTCAAGATTGATAACTGCTGTTGAAGGAGGATTTCCATAACTCAATAATTTATTGTTCATCTGGAGGGCCCACTAGGCCAGCCTCACTCTGAGGCACAAATGTACATTATCCCTCTTATCTTGCTTTAGTTCTTTTATATACTGTAACTCAAAGTCTTGCCTAAAACACTAAAGGTAGTATAGGCTTCATAAAATATTAGTACAGTAAACCTTCAATTGTAATCTGGAGAGAGAGTTCCGGGGGTCAACGCCCACGCGGCCCGGTCTGTGACCAGGCCTCCTTAGGTCAGTGTCCCAGGATGCGACCCACACCAGTCGACTAACACCCAGGTACCCATTTTACTGATGGGGAACATAGACAACAGGTGGAAAGAAACACGTCCAATGTTTCTACTCTGGCTGGGAATCGAACCCAGGCCCTCGCCGTGTGAAGCGAGAGCGTTAACCACCAGGCCACCAGTTACACAGTTACTAGGATGGGGAGGGAAAGTAGGTGTATGGTAATGTCAACTGTGGTGGATAGAGATGAGAGTGTTTTGCCATGAGTGTAACAATAATGGACAATCTCTAATCAATTAACTTTGTTCTTTGCTTCTTAGTCAATTAACCCCAAGGATTTTTTTCCATATTTCTTAAGTCCATTAAATCAAGGTTTTACTGTATGTTATGCCTTTATTGTCCATAATAGCTGTAATTATTATGAAAATAAATATTTAAATTTGAATAAAAGATTATGGGAGTAGACTATCTGTTCTAGGAAAGAACTTCAGATGTTCAATATTGTGCTTCATACTTATAAAAATGTTCCTACCCTAATAAGCTTAAATGTTACTATAAACCTAAAATGTAGCCTTGAGAATTAACCATATTTAAAATGTAAAAACCTTGAAAGTTGTACATCATCCATGACAGCAAACGTGTAAGATTCTGTGATACCATTGATAGCCAGAAAAATGACATAGAAGCACTGTGCTTTCATCAATGGTGTCCCTCCCCCATCGCTCAGCTGGTGACCACCATACAACTGCAGAGATAAAACATCAGTCAGTACCTGCAGTAGTTGAATTGGAATAGCAATAAAAATAACCATGTAGTAAAATATCAATGCAACAAAATAATAAAACCAAGAAACAATAATGCTACATTAAATCAGTGAAATATCACATTATGACAGATAAAAAAAAACACATCTCCATGAAAGGGTCTTGTGTCAACCACAACCCACCAGCTGGGGCAGGAGAGGCTCTGGGATAGAACACATGGGGACCTCCTGACTCCTTGCATAGCAATGAATTATTTTATCCTCACAATTATGATATTCCTAGGTAGAAGGTTGGTAGACAGCAGCCACTCAGGGAGGTACTACCGTCCTGCTGAGTGTGAAACGGAAACCTGTAATTGTTTTACATGATGGTAGGATTGCTGGTGTCTTTTTTCTGTCTCATAAGCATGCAAGGTTTCAGGTATGTCTTGTTACTTCTACTTACACTTAGGTCACACTACACATGCATGTACAAGCATATATATACACACCCCTCTGGGTTTTCTTCTATTTTCTTCCTAGTTCTTGATCTTGTTTATTTCCTCTTATCTTCATGGGGAAGTGGAACAGAACTCTTTACCCGTAAGCCATGCGTGTTGTAAGAGGCGACTAAAATGCCGGAAGCAAGGAGCTACTAACTACTTCTGTATACATTACTAAATTTAAAATGAGAAACTTTTGTTTTTCTTTTTGAGTCACCCTGCCTCAGTGGGATATGGCAGGTTTGCTCAAAGAAAGATGGAAAGAAAGAACTGTGATATTCTGCTGTGGGGCTGAGAGAGCCCACATGGAATAATACCAAAGCAGGACAGCATTTACTGAATGCAGCCATGAACCCTATGTAGAGAGCAGCCTAGCCAGAATGAAAGATAGTTCAATCAGACTACTGATAATTGCTGAAAGATTACTAAGCATGGCCATCACACAAGCACAGTAGTCTACAAAAAGACATTCCGTGATATATTCTACGTGGTTTCCTAGGGCCCCACTAAAAATAAAAAAATATAATTACTGAAGTAATAGGATAATCAAAGAGTAAATAACAACAACATAGGTTTCTGTCACTTTATGTGGATTTGCTTTGTACAAATTCACTTATATGAGGTCATATTTCTACCAGTAATTTGCTACATGAAGCATTACATGGTAGAAAGGAATAAGTGCCAAATTCAAACAATGGAGAAAAATGGAGGCACATGGGAGAGATCAGAGATACAAAGCTTAAGTTACCATACTTTGTTATGGGGCTCCGAGCCTAACATAAAGATGCAGAAGACAACACTTACAAATTCCCACAGAGACAAAACATAAAGGAACTGATTCATTCACTAACCTGGATTTAGGCAATGGTGGCCCAAGTAATACAGAAATATTAATATAAAATCAACCAATCAGCATCACTTGATTTTTTAACACCATCCCTTTAAATATTAATGTAAATTAGTTCACAATGACTTTCATGGGAAAGGAGGATTAGAAAGAAAAATGAGTTTGATTGTGGAAAATGCAGTGAGCATATGCTGTATATAATTCTATGGTAGGTTTTCAATTTAATATTTCTGCACCAAGTCATAGCAAAACAGACACAACCAGACAAAAATGAGAAGTGCCAACACAAAGTTGGGACTAAGGGTGGAGGGAGGGAGGAAATATTAGTACAGTGGACAATTGCTAATGGGTTAACAAATTGTAATTTTGAATAATGATAAAAAAAAAATCTGGGACCCTCTTATTGCTTAACCCTTAAACTCTCCAAACGTAGATCAATGTTTTCTCAACATTTGAAAGTATGTGAAAAAAGTAGATCTTTTTTTTTTTTTTTTTTACATTTGAAAACGTGTAAAAAAATTTTGATCTACTTTGTTTGTTTTTGTTATATTTGAAAATACATGTATGTAAAAAAACGTAGATCTACTTTTGGAGCACTACGTATGTAGTGCTTGGACAGTTTAAGGGTTAATAACTGCCTCCTGCTTGTACCATGACAAGCTTCAAGACTGCCAGCTTCCAAGTTTCCATACAAGACTAAATCAGCAATTTCCTGAATCAGTAGTCATTACACACAGTTTTCATATCCTCTGCATCATCAGTTAAAATGTAAAGAAAATGGGGATTATATTTATTTTTATTATCATTCTTTTATTAACACATTGGCTGTTTCCCACCAAGGCAGGGTGGCCCAAAAAAGAAAAACTTTCATCATCATTCACTCCATCACTGTCTCGCCAGTGGCATGCTTACACTACAGTTATAAAACTGCAACATTAACACCCTCCTTCAGAGTGCAGGCACTGTATCTCCCACCTCCAGGACTCAAGTCCGGCCTGCTGGTTTCCCTGAATCCCTTCATAAATGCTACCTTGCTCACACTCCAACAGCATGTCAAGTCCTAAAAACCATTTGTCTCTACTCACTCCTATCTAACACACTCACGTTTATATTTATATATGTATAATTTTTTTAACACATTGGCCATCTCCCACTGAGGCAGGGTGACCCAAAAAAGAAACACTTTCGCCATCATTCACACTATCACTGTCTTGCCAGAGGCATGCAGTTTTGATGTTTTCCTAAACAGCAAATATCCCAAACTTTTTTTTTTAACACATTGGCCATCTCCTCCTGAGGCAGGGTGACCCAAAAAAGAAACACTTTCACTATCATTCACATAAAAATCATTGTTTTTGCATAGGTTTTCAGACATGACAGTCTAGATGTCACTCAAACAGCCAATATCCCAAACCCCTCTTTAAATTGCAGGCATTGTACTTCCCATCTCTAGGACTCAAGACCGGGTTGAGAAGACTGTGTACACTCTGTGACCTGTTGGGTACAGTACTGATGGGCACAATACTAGTCTTGTATGAAAGACACACACCACTCCTTATGAAAGTAACAAATTATATAAGGAGTGGTGTGTGAAAGTAACAATATTATTGTTACTTTCTCTATTTAGGAAGTGTTATTTAAAAACAGACATAAGTATTGTACATGCACATTGAAAATTTGGTTTCTGAAATATTCATCCAGAAACAAAACAAAACTTATTCCATGGTGTATTAAACAAGGTTATGTCCAATGGCATCTTTATTATGAAATAATTCAGTAGTGTGTGTGGCAGTGACTCACCTGCAGCACCAGACTGGAGTAAGACCAACCAAATGTTAAACATCAGCATACTAATGAGCATCAGATTGTGCAACAACGAAGACAAAAATCTAACCACCTCTTTTATCCGATCCTGAAAAGGAAATAAAGATTAAACAATGTCCATTTTTTAACATGAATTTTGGGGAAATTTTTCACATCATATGATTGATGGAGGTAAAAGCTATTTTGTTTTCTCAATGCAGCAGCTGTATCCCACCAAGGTAGCGCGACTTACAAAGAAAAGGAAAGTTTTTCTTTTTACATTTAGTAATAAAAAGTGATTTATTAGATATTAACACACCAGTCATCTCCCACCAAGGTAATGCGACTTACAAAGAAAAGGAAAGTTTTTCTTTTTACATTTAGTAATAAAAGTGATTTATTAGATATTTGACACACCAGTCATCTCCCACCAAGGTAGGGTGATGCACAAAAAAAAAAAAAAAAAAAATGAGGACACAGATTTGCCATCACTTATTCAACTGCTGTCTTGCCAGAATAACATCCACATCTGGGTTATTCTGCATTAGGGAAAACTTTGTAATTAGGCTGGGCAATAATTCAGTCTCAAAATCCATGCATGGATATTCCCTATGGATTTTTTAACAAACCGGCCGTATCCCACCAAGGCAGGGTGGCCCAAAAAAGAAAAGCGAAAGTTTCTCTTTTTAAATTTAGTAATATATACAGGAGAAGAGGTTACTAGCCCCTTGCTCCCGGCATTTTAGTCGCCTCTTACGACATGCATGGCTTACTGAGAAAAAATTCTTCTCTACTTTTCATGTGGATATTTTTTTTTCAACACATCAGCCATTTCCTAATGAGGCAGGGTGACCCAAAAAGAAAGAAAAATACTTTCATCATCATTCAACACTTTCACCATCACTCATACATAATCACTGTCTTTGCAGAGACGCTCAGATATGACAGTTTAGAAGTCCCTCAAAATTGCCAATATCCCAAACCCCTCCTTTAAAGTGCAGGCATTGTGCTTCCCATTTCCAGGACTTGAGTCCAGCTAACCAGTTTCCCTGAATCCCTTCACAAAATATTTCCCTGCTCACACTCCAACAGCTCGTCAGGTCCCAAAAACCATTCGTTTCCATTCACTCCTATCTAACACGCTCACGCATGCTTGCTGGAAGCCCAAGCCCCTTGCCCACAAAACCTCCTTTACCCACTCCCTCCAACCTTTTCAAGGACGACCCCTACCCCGCCTTCCTTTCCCTACAGACTTATACACTCTCCAACTCATTCTACTTTGTTCCATTTTCTTTAAATGATCAAACCATCTCAATAATCCCTCTTCAGCCCTCTGACTAATACCTTTAGTAACTCCACACCTCGTCCCAATTTCCACACTCCAAATTCTCTGCATAATATTTACACCACACACTGGTCTTAGACAGGACATCTCCACTGTCTCCAGCCACCTCCTCACTGCAGCATTTACAATCCAAGCTTCACACCATATAAGGGTGTTGGTACCAGAATACTTTCATACATTCCCTTCTTTGCCTCAATGTATAATGTTTTTTTGTCTCCAAAGATACTTCAATGCACCACTCACCTTTTTTCCTTCATCAATTCTACAGTTAACCTCATCCTTCATAAACCCATCTGCTGACAAGTCAACTCCCAAATATCTGAAAACATTCACTTCTTCCATACTCCCTCTCTCCAATGTGATATCCAATTTCTCTTTATCTAAATTGTATGACACCCTCATCACCTTACTCTTATCTATGTTCGCTTACAACTTTCTACCTTTACACGCTCTTACAAACTCATCCACTAACCTTTGCCACTTTTCTTTAGAATCTCCCAAAAGCACAGTATCTTCAACTAAAAGTAACTGTGTCAACTCCCATTTTATATTTGATTCCCCATAATTTAATCCCACCCCTCTCCCCAGTGGGGAGAGTCAAATACAAAGGAAGGGGAGCACTGCAAGAGAGCTAGATGCCCACAGAGGGAGAGCAAGTGCACAGAGGTGCATGAAAGGGGAAGTGGTGAAATATTCTTCCCCTTTCACGCACCTCTGTGTGCTTGCTCTCCCTCTGTGGGCATCTAGCTCTCTTGCAGTGCTCCCCTTCCTTTGTATTTGACTGGCTCGTCTTCCTTATTTCCCACTTCTACCACTACCACTACTACTACCTCTTCTTCTTCTACTACTACTACAACTACTGATGAAATTAAGACACATGTGCGGCGTCTGGTTGTCTTTGTTGTGGACGTTTCGCCATCCAGTGGCTGGCTGGATGGCGAAACGTCTACGATGGGGGTGCCCAGTATTATATACAATTCTTGTACTACTACTACTACTACTACCACCACCTCTTCCTGCCTATATATAGCCATCCTGCTCCACCTCTGGTTAGTGTGACTTTGTCAATGGTCCAAGTCGGACCGAAACGTCGTCGTAAGCTTCTCTCTTTTATGTGCGGGTTATTTGTGTATCTAAATACTGTTCATATATATGCATCAATGTAAACACCTGATCTACACATCCCCTACCCACTCTAAAGCCTCCTTGCTCATCTGCAATCCTACTCTCCATCTTACCTCTAATTCTTTCAATAATAACCCTACCGTACACTTCACCTGGTATATTCAGTAAACTTATTCCCCTATAATTTTTACAATCTCTTTTGTCCCCCTTCCCTTTATATAAAGGAACTATGCACGCTCTCTGCCAATCCCTAGGTACCTTCCCCTCTTTCATACATCTATTAAACAAAAACACAAACCACTCCAACACTATATCCCCCCCCTCCCCCCGGCTTTTAACATTTCTGTCATGATCCCGTCAATTCCAGCTGCTTTACCCCCTTTTATTTAACATAATGCCTCATGCACCTCCCCCACACTCACATCCTGCTTTTGTTCACTCCTAAAAGATGTTATACCTCCCTGGCCAGTGCATGAAATTACCATCTCCCTTTCTTCATTGACATTTAAAAGTTCCTTAAAGTATTCCCACCATCTACCCAATACCTCCAATTCCCCATCAACTAACTCCCTACTCTGTTTTTAAAATGACAAATCCATGCATTCCCTAGGATTTCTTAACTTGTTTATCTCACTCCAAAATTTTTTCTTATTTTCAGCAAAATTTTTTGACAGTGCCTCTCCCACTATATCACTTGCTCTCCTTTTGTGCTCTCTCACCACTCTCTTCACCTTTCTTTTATTTTCCATATACTGTACTCTGCTTTTCTTATATCACTTCTGCTTTATAAAAACCTCTCATAAGCTACCTTTTTCTCTCTTATCACACCTTTTACCTCATCATTCCACCAATCACTCCTCTTTCCTCCTGCACCCACCCTCCTATAACCACAAACTTCTGCCCCACATTCAAATACTGCATTTTTAAAACTATCCCATCCCTCTTCAGCCCCCCACTACCCATACTTGCACTAACCCACCTTTCTGCCAATAGTTGCTTATATCTCACCCTGACTTCCTCCTCCCTTAGTTTATACACTTTTACCTCTCTCTTACTTGCTGCTGCCATTTTCCTTTTGTCCCATCTACCTCTTACTCTAACTGTAGCTACAACTAAATAATGATCTGATATATCAGTTGCCCCTCTATAAACACGTACATGTACATCCTGGAGCCTACCCATCAACCTTTTGTCCACCAATACATAATCTAACAAACTACTTTCATTATGTGCCATATCATACCTTGTATGTGGATATATTTTCAATTTAAAGAAAAAACAGATACAGAGCATTAAGGGTCAATAAATCAGGGAGGATGAAAAGCATCATTTACCCTTATAATACATAATATAAAACTAAATTAAAGTTATGGCAAATTTGCATACCTGATTCTGTTCTTGTATTGGTTTACCCCGGTATAACATCTGAGCAAAGTACTTGTATGCTGCAGTTTCTATACTTCTAAACACAAGTCGGGCAGCGAGTGATGCCAGATTATTCACTACCTGTGTGCATTTACACCTGCATTAGATAAATTATGAATAAGAAATTATTGACTAAAAAAAATAATAAATAGGAATATGGGTACTTCAAGTGTAACAAAAAACAAAAATTTGATTTAAATTACAGTAATGTAATGCAGGAAAATAAATACTGCACTCCTTCCAAATCATAAGAGTTGCTCATATGTGAATTACTTGCTTGGAGACCTTTGTTTTGTATCCTATTTTTCATTGTCTATGAGCTGGATTTGTGGATCTGGGACTTGCATATGATTTTTTTATTTTAACACATAGGCCATCTCTCACTGAGGCAAGGTGGCCAAAAGAAAAAAAAAATTCATCTTTTAATATGTAGTAATTTATACAGGAGAAGGGATTACTAGCCCCTTGCTACTGGCATTTTAGTCATTTATTTTGACAGCATGGCTTACAAAGCAAGGATTCTTCTCCATTTTCCCATGGAGGTTGCATATGATATGTCCTTGATAACTAAGACACTTTGGCAACATCTGGGAATCTTTATTCTGGAAATATTTCACCATGTTTCCCAAGAGTTCCCCAAGCATCTCAATTATCAACTTGTCAGTTTCCTAAATCATTTATGCAAAAATAAGTCTTTATCTTCAAAACTGGCACCCCAAATCCTGACTTGTATAAGTATCATGGCATTATATGTGAGTTGCATTTGTAGATCTGCAACTCACATACAAAAGTATTATGGTGTCATGTGCAAGTTTGACTCCTAGGTCCTGACTCAATTCTATTACATGGCCTCACCTACATAATACAATATATTATATGTCTGTTAGATAACCTATCTGTACCATAATTAACTCAAAATAAACATAAAATATTTGACTAATACTAGGTCTGTTCCATGAATATCCCAAACACATAAGCAAGTATCCTCTTCTTAGTGTCCCACAATATACTTAAGCTCTGCCAGTTTGGCTTCAAACCAGGAAAAAGTAAAAATGATGCAATTATAAAAATGGTAGACTTAATTTATAGAGCTCTCAAAAACTTTCAATATCCAATGGGGCTCTTCATTATGAAAGCTTTCAATACTCGCTGGCTGTCTCCCACTTTCACCATCATTCATACTATCACTGTCTTGCCAGAGGTATGTAGATATGACAGTTTAGATGTCACTCTAAACAGCAAATATCCCAAATCCCTTCTTAAAAGTGCAGGCACTGTACTTCTCACCTCCAGGACTCAAGTCCGGCTAACTGGTTTTCCTGAATCCCTTCACACAGTATTACCCTGCCCACATTCCAACAGTTCAAGACCCAAAACTCATTTATCTCCACTGATTCCTAACATGCTTATACATGTCTGCTGTATGTCCAAGCCTCCTGTACCCACCCTCCCTCCAACCTTTCCTAGAACAACCCTTACCCTGCTTTCCCTCCACTACACAGTTATACACCCTCCAAGTCATCCTATTATTATATATTTTTTTTTTTAACACACTGGCCGATTCCCACCAAGGCAGGGTGGCTCGAAAAAGAAAAAAATATTATTATTATTATTAGTCTAACACTTGAAATACAAGTGCAATATCCACAAATTCACCAATTATGAACATCTCATGGAATACATCGCTGGCAGATACAGAGGGCAAGGTGTGCTGTATAAGCAAGCCAGTTGTGCTCAGAGATGAAGAGACATGCAGTATGACCTGGAGGTGAAACCTGCACACAGTCAGGCAAGTATATTACCCGTGTGGAAACGTGTCATTCAACTTGCTGAAAACTGAACATTTACGAAAATAAATACAAGACAATAACAAGCATTGGTTCTGCCTTACTCCAAACAAGTAATTAAGTAGAGAAAATAGACAGACAGCCAATTACAGATTGTATGTAAATGCTTTTGACATTCTCACCTGATACACACCCTGTTGGGCTAAGGAAATCAATGGAAAGAAATTCATTAGATAAAATTCTCCTTCTGTTAGAGCTTCCATTAACCATCCTTGTTTAAAGAAACTCCATGCCAAGGTTCCCAGCTCACTATCCACTTGAGGCTGCAAAGAAAACAACATATGAATGCAGTACAATACAGAACTGTAACCTATATGATATCACTGTACAAAAGAGAAAATACATATTTTCGTATCAATTTACAGTAATGGTATATAATAAAGTCGAATTCTAATTTGTGAACTTTCTGAATGTATTTACTTGTACAAATATCATCTTTCTTCCTAATAGATCTCATTATAAGCATATGTCATGTGTGTTTTTAAAAGAGATAATTTTTTTCAACACGTTGGCCATCTCCCACTAAGGCAGGGTGACCAAAAATGAGAAACACTTTCACCATCATTCACACATAATCACTGTCTTTGCAAAGGAGCTCAGATACAAAAGTTTAGATGTCACTCCAAACAGCCAATATTCCAAGCCCCTCCTTTAAAGTGCAGGCAATGTACTTCTCACCTTCAGGACTCAGGGCCGGCTAACCAGTTTCCCTGAATCCTTTCACAAAATATTACCCTGCTCACATTCCAACAGTTGATGTGAAGAGCACCAGTGCTCTTCACACCAACTCCAAGGCTGAGGGACTGATTATCTCATCTTTTGTATATAGTTCTACTGTCTTCAAATTATGTCCAAGAATCTGTATTGATAAAGCCACTGGATGGCAAAACATCTACAATAAAGATACCCAGATGTTTGCACTTGTGTCTAAATTTTGAAGACTTGCTTTTCTCTGTTAGTGAGACAATACTATCTTTCTTTCAGCAGCCAAAGTAGCGAATTAAAATATTTTAAAGAGCATAAAAGATGTCACTGCACAGGTATACCAACTCAGAAGTGTCACCTTGGTAATTACTTATAAAAAAAATCTAGCTAGTAAATAAAGTAAAAAGTGGATTGGATCCATTCTAAGAAATATAAATGACAAAGAAAGATTGAGAGTAATGTAAATATTCTTAATAACTATCAAAAAGAAAACAGGAGATATAACAGAAAGGGATGTAATTTGGTGTGTGTGTGTGTGCAGAGAGTTAATGTTTTTAGATATTTTCGATGACTGTCAGTAAATGAGCATAAGAAAGACAAGGTAAATCATGAAAGAGATGAGATAAAGAGATAAGTGGAATGTTGAGACATCTATACAAAATAAAAGTTTATTAAAGGTAGTAAAAAAGATGAATAAACCAAAGTATAGTGATGTCAACATTTGTAAAGACTATGACTGTTGCTTTATTTATTTATTTATTTATTAATTTGAACATGATACAGTGAGGTACAAAGTTATTACAGTGCAACATGCCAAAGCACCTTGTATGCAGAGCATTATGAGCAGGCTTAAAATTAACTTAAGAATAACTAAGCAATGATATATTCAGTGGTAAAAACATTATTGTATGCAGATAACAATTTAGCACAAATGAGTATTACAAAGACAGGTCATATGGTCATTTACTGTGTTGCTGAGCATTCAGTAGAATGGAGTATTCTGTTAGGTAATGTAATTAAAAACTTAAGTTTGATTGGGTCACAGGTTAGACATTTATGAGATACAACAATGAGAAACATTTACGAGATACAATTTATGAGATACAATTATTCAGTATTTATTTAGTTGTGGGTAAGTGATTTTTGAGAAGAGACTTGAATTTATAAACAGACAGTGTTTCTTTTATATTCACAGGTAATGAATTCCAGATTTTAGGGCCTTTTATGTGCATTGAGTTTTTGCATAGCGCGAGATGGACTCGAGGAACATCAAAGAGTGATCTGTGCCTTGTGTTATGGTCGTGTGTTCTGTTGAGGTTGGTAAGGAGACGTTTGAGGGGAGGGTTTATATCAGAATTAAGTGTTATATGAATGTAGTAGGTGCAGTAATAAGTATGGATGTTTTGAATGGTGAGTAGGTTTAGAGTTTTGAATATTGGTGGAGTGTGCTGCCTGTAGTGGGAATTTGTTATCATTCTGACTGCCGCCTTTTGTTGGGTAATTAATGGTCTGAGATGGTTTATTGTTCTTGAGCCCCATGCACAAATTCCATAGGTGAGATAGGGGTAAATAAGTGAGTGATATAGGGCCAGGAGGGCTGACTGTGGAACATAGTACCGTATCTTCGATAGTATGCCTACGGTCTTGGAAATTTTTTTGGAAATTTGTTGTATATGTGTTTGAAATTTGAGTCTATTATCAAGGTGGATTCCTAAGAATTTTCCCTCTGTGAGTTTTGTGATAGGTGATCCGTTTATCATTATGTTAAGAGGGACGTCTGTACCTCTGTTACCAAACTAAATGAAGTAGGTTTTGTCAATGTTTAGAGTAAGTTTGTTAGTACTCATCCAGGTAGATTATTATTATCACATTATTATCACACTGGCCGATTCCCACCAAGGCAGGGTGGCCCGAAAAAGAAAAACTTTCACCATCATTCACTCCATCACTGTCTTGCCAGAAGGGTGCTTTACACTACAGTTTTTAAACTGCAACATTAACACCCCTCCTTCAGAGTGCAGGCACTGTACTTCCCATCTCCAGGACTCAAGTCCGGCCTGCCGGTTTCCCTGAACCCCTTCATAAATGTTACTTTGCTCACACTCCAACAGCACGTCAAGTATTAAAAACCATTTGTCTCCATTCACTCCTATCAAACACGCTCACGCATACCTGCTGGAAGTCCAAGCCCCTCGCACACAAAACCTCCTTTACCCCCTCTCTCCAACCTTTCCTAGGCCGACCCCTACCCCGCCTTCCTTCCACTACAGACTGATACACTCTTGAAGTCATTCTGTTTTGCTCCATTCTCTCTACATGTCCGAACCACCTCAACAACCCTTCCTCAGCCCTCTGGACAACAGTTTTGGTAATCCCGCACCTCCTCCTAACTTCCAAACTACGAATTCTCTGCGTTATATTCACACCGCACATTGCCCTCAGACATGACATCTCCACTGCCTCCAGCCTTCTCCTCGCTGCAACATTCATCACCCATGCTTCACACCCATATAAGAGCGTTGGTAAAACTATACTCTCATACATTCCCCTCTTTGCCTCCAAGGACAAAGTTCTTTGTCTCCACAGACTCCTAAGTGCACCACTCACTCTTTTTCCCTCATCAATTCTATGATTCACCTCATCTTTCATAGACCCATCCGCTGACACGTCCACTCCCAAATATCTGAATACATTCACCTCCTCCATACACTCTCCCTCCAATCTGATATTCAATCTTTCATCACCTAATCTTTTTGTTATCCTCATAACCTTACTCTTTCCTGTATTCACCTTTAATTTTCTTCTTTTGCACACCCTACCAAATTCATCCACCAATCTCTGCAACTTCTCTTCAGAATCTCCCAAGAGCACAGTGTCATCAGCAAAGAGCAGCTGTGACAACTCCCACTTTGTGTGTGATTCTTTATCTTTTAATTCCACGCCTCTTGTCAAGACCCTCGCATTTACTTCTCTTACAACCCCATCTATAAATATATTAAACAACCACGGTGACATCACACATCCTTGTCTAAGGCCTACTTTTACTGGGAAATAATTTCCCTCTTTCCTACATACTCTAACTTGAGCCTCACTATCCTCGTAAAAACTCTTCACTGCTTTCAGTAACCTACCTCCTACACCATACACTTGCAACATCTGCCACATTGCCCCCCTATCCACCCTGTCATATGCCTTTTCCAAATCCATAAATGCCACAAAGACCTCTTTAGCCTTATCTAAATACTGTTCACTTATATGTTTCACTGTAAACACCTGGTCCACACACCCCCTACCTTTCCTAAAGCCTCCTTGTTCATCTGCTATCCTATTCTCCGTCTTACTCTTAATTCTTTCAATAATAACTCTACCATACACTTTACCAGGTATACTCAGCAGACTTATCCCCCTATAATTTTTGCACTCTCTTTTATCCCCTTTGCCTTTATACAAAGGAACTATGCATGCTCTCTGCCAATCCCTAGGTACCTTACCCTCTTCCATACATTTATTAAATAATTGCACCAACCACTCCAAAACTATATCCCCACCTGCTTTTAACATTTCTATCTTCATCCCATCAATCCCGGCTGCCTTACCCCCTTTCATTTTACCTACTGCCTCACGAACTTCCCCCACACTCACAACTGGCTCTTCCTCACTCCTACAAGATGTTATTCCTCCTTGTCCTATACACGAAATCACAGCTTCCCTATCTTCATCAACATTTAACAATTCCTCAAAATATTCCCTCCATCTTCCCAATACCTCTAACTCTCCATTTAATAACTCTCCTCTCCTATTTTTAACTGACAAATCCATTTGTTCTCTAGGCTTTCTTAACTTGTTAAACTCACTCCAAAACTTTTTCTTATTTTCAACAAAATTTGTTGATAACATCTCACCCACTCTCTCATTTGCTCTCTTTTTACATTGCTTCACCACTCTCTTAACCTCTCTTTTTCTCCATATACTCTTCCCTCCTTGCATCACTTCTACTTTGTAAAAACTTCTCATATGCTAACTTTTTCTCCCTTACTACTCTCTTTACATCATCATTCCACCAATCGCTCCTCTTCCCTCCCGCACCCACTTTCCTGTAACCACAAACTTCTGCTGAACACTCTAACACTACATTTTTAAACCTACCCCATACCTCTTCGACCCCATTGCCTATGCTCTCATTAGCCCATCTATCCTCCAATAGCTGTTTATATCTTACCCTAACTGCCTGCTCTTTTAGTTTATAAACCTTCACCTCTCTCTTCCCTGATGCTTCTATTCTCCTTGTATCTCATCTACCTTTTACTCTCAGTGTAGCTACAACTAGAAAGTGATCTGATATATCTGTGGCCCCTCTATAAACATGTACATCCTGAAGTCTACTCAACAGTCTTTTATCTACCAATACATAATCCAACAAACTACTGTCATTTCGCCCTACATCATATCTTGTATACTTATTTATCCTCTTTTTCTTAAAATATGTATTACCTATAACTAAACCCCTTTCTATACAAAGTTCAATCAAAGGGCTCCCATTATCATTTACACCTGGCAC